CGTTTATTCTTCTCCGGCGGTCCTCCTTCTTCCCCGTTCTGAGCTACGGCGGTCAAAAGTGGTTTACCCTCGTTTTTAGTGGTGTGAGAGCCCTTTAGGTACGCGTATTTGTTCTGCTGTTCTAGTGGTTTTTCTGTAGGCCTTTGCCTAAAGGAATTCAAAGGAATTCAAAATTTTTCCAAGTTAAAAATGAATATCAAATCATCTAGTCGTCCAAATACCGACTAGGAAAATGTCAAAAATTTTATAAGTTAAAAATGAATACCAAATCATCTAGTCGTCCAAATACCGACTAAGAAAAATGTCAAACTTTTTCAAAGTTAAAAATGAATATCAACTCATCTAGTCGTCCAAATACCGACTAGGAAAATAATTAATTTTTTCTAAGTAAAAAGTTGAACGTGAAAATAGTCGTCTAAATACCGACTAGGAAAATAATAAATACATGAAAATGATTGCTTCAAAGTTTCAAGCTTCAAAATCAATGGATCAATCGGCCAAATACCGACTGCAAAAGTGATGAAATTTTTTCTAAGTTTCAAACTTCAAAACCAACGGATCAATCGGCCAAATACCGACCGTAAAAGTGATAAATAAATGACATTTTTTCTAACTTCAAAATCAATGGATCAGTCGGCCAAATTCCGACTGCAAAGATGATAAATGAATGAAAATTTTTTCTAAGTTCAAGTGCAATTTAACCATGCAATCGGCCCATTGCCGACTCAAAATAATGAATGAAAATTTTTCCAAGTTCAAGTGAAATTTAACCATGCAATCGGCCCAATGCCGACTCAAAATAATGAATGAAAATTTTTTCCAAGTTCAAGCGAAATTTAACCATGCAATCGGCCAAACGCCGACTCAAAATAGTGAATGAAAATTTTTTCCAAGTTCAAGCGAAATTTAACCATGCAATCGGCCAAACGCCGACTCAAAATAGTGAATGAAAATTTTTCCAAGTTCTAGTGCAATCTAACCATGCAATCAGCCAAACGCCGACTCAAAATAGTGAATGAAAATTTTTTCCAAGTTCAAGCGAAATCTAACCATGCAATCAGCCAAACGCCGACTCAAAATAGTGAATGAAAATTTTTCCAAGTTCTAGTGCAATTTAACCATACAATCGGCTCAACGCCGACTCAAAAACAATAAGTGAACCTTTTTTTAGATTTAAAATGAACTAGTAGAATTCAAATAATGGAATAGAACTGTCAGATCAGCATTGAGCTGCAATTATATGCACGGGTCGTCCAAACTCCGACTTGTGTTGGAATCGTCAAAATTCTGATGAGCAAGGGTGAATAAGATGTGCTAAGTTAAAGAAATTGCTTGTATCGTAATCTGTCTTCGAGTTATTTATACTCGCCCAGCCGGACTTTTGCCGACAATCACGAGTTTGGTCTTCGAGTTATTTATACTCGCCCAGCCGGACTTTTGCCGACAATCACGAGTTTGGTCTTCGAGTTATTTATACTCGCCCAGCCGGACTTTTGCCGACAATCACGAGTTTGGTCTTCGAGTTATTTATACTCGCCCAGCCGGACTTTTGCCGACAATCACGAGTTTTCCTGCGAGTCAATCAATTTGAAAATAACGATTTTTATTATTTGATGTTACCTCGTTAAAAACCTTTGTAGCATAAAACCCTCGCAGCAGACTCCCATGCTTCCTCCACGAATTAACATCTGAGCACGAAAGTCCATTAGATGTTGACTAGGATCCTGTTTTCCGTCAAACGGTTCCACCTGCTGATACGAAGCTGTTCTTTGACAAACCAGACCTCATATTGACAATCCGAACGGTCAGAATGAAGAACCTCACTTCCTGAACCTATAGTCCAAAAATCAGCCCGATCCAACGGTGAACGACTTCACACCGATTAAAACACAGTACCAGCTCTGTTTTGTGCTGGAACACTTTCACCTACTGATATGAAGCTGTTTTCTCCCAAACCAGGCCTCCGGTTAATAATCCGAACGGTCAGAATGAAGAACCACATTTCTGGAACCTACAGTCCAAAAATCAGCTCGATCCAACGGTGCAAGACCTTACACCGACGAAAACACAGAGCCCACTCTGTTTTTGTGCGGGAAACTTCCTCTCCTTCTCTCTCTCTGGGTCGCGCTCCTCTTTCAAGCCATTGATCAACGCCATCATCTCCTCCATGGTAGGGTGTTGTTGTCGTGGTTGGATGTGCCGCCTCTCGCCATAGTAGAGTGTAGGTTTTTTGTATTTCTTGGGGCGTAGGAAAAGTTTTACCGTAGCCCCACGGTGGGCGCCAAAATGTTCCGGCCAAAGGGTGAACTAGGGTTTTTTCCTAGATCGTGCCTTAGAGCCAGAGCATTCAAAAGTTTAATCTGTCGTCCTAGCCCTAGGGTTTTGGGTTTTATACTTTTGTGTTATGGGCTTCGTGGGCCCCGCGATTATCGGGATCCCCCTTAACCGTTCTTATCTCGAAGCCCTGGGGGTGAATGGGGGGTCTAATCGGAATTTTACCGGGAAGGTACAATACCCAATCTAATCTAAGCTAATAATAAACCCAACTCCTTGGCTCCAATTAATATCTTGCTTTCGTGGACTCGGCCTTGTTTATTTTCATCATCCTGTCAATAAAAATAAAAAAATTATAGTTCCCCAAAGAAAAATCATAAGATATATTATGAAAATAATTGATAAATATTTTTTTGACTCGTTACATGTTAAAGTGATTCATGATTTAAATGGTTACCTTCTATGATTTTGAGATAAATTCAGTTGATGATAATGTATATCAAAAATTTAGTAGGAGTTGATTTTTCTTTGTGGTGTGTTATATGTTGATGACATTCTAATCACCAATAATGATATGTGCTATTGTTTTACAAAATGAAGAAAAAAGTTATGTACCAAGAAAAATGAAAAAAAAAAATTCACAAAAAAAAATTGTGATGAAAAATTCAAATACTTATAGATCATTCTCAAGGTATCTTGGATTATCCCAAAATAATATATAGATACAATTTTAGATATATTTGTTATGAAAGATAATAAACCATATATTCATTGTTAAGGGAGATATGTTTAATCTAATTTTTGCTCGAATTTAAATTCATCCTAATGTAGCATCTATAGTGGAAATCTTGGGGAGATATATGAGTAATTGTGGTATGCAACACAAAATTTTGAAAAGCACATGACATGCTATTTGAAGAGAATAAGAGACTACATGCATACTTCCTGAAAGCTCAACAATTTAAAGATTCTTGGGTACTTTGACTTTAATTCTACAGGATGTTTGGTAAAAAAATGCTCCACATCATGCTAGATTTACATGTTGTCGTGGGGCTATTTCTTGGAAGTATGCTAAATAAAGTCTTGTAGCTTCTTCAACCATGACAACAAAATTCGTGGCTTTCGGTAAGGAATTGAACCATGGGTTATGAATACGGAATTTTGTCACAAACTTGTGCGTGGTTAGCAAAATTGCAAGTTATTAGGTGATTATGATAAGCACACCAGTTGAACAAATAGTTTGTAGTGAGTAAATGTCGCCTTTCAAATACAACAATAAGTATAATTAATAACTAATTTAAACAAAAGAATATTTCATTAATTGTTATATGTTTGTAAAAGAAATAAAAATTAGAAAGGTGAAGTTCTTTTTGATATTTTCTCAAACACTTAAAAGATAGTTTAGATTAGAAATGATATAATATCATCGAATTGTACCCTCATACATTTAATCACTTAAATCTTCTTTCACAAAAGACACGGTAGTTCTATAATCGGTGAAAGAAATAGATCAAATTGACAAAAAAAAATTAAACATAAATAGTATGTGTTTACCTTAAAAATTGAGATATGATTGTTATAGTATTTAGCCCAAGTGAGATATTGTAAGAATTTTATATTTCAAAATTTATAATATGGGCTAAATTATAAAAAAGAATTATATTAATTATTTATTATTAATAGGCTTTAGTTTATATGGTAAAATTGAGTAAATTTATTATGAGTTAATCACCTATACACTGACAGTGTAAAGTTTTTTTTATACTGACAACCAATTATATTATTTAATTGTGTCATGTCACTATAAACAAATTTACTTTTAACCGTAACATGGCACGATTAAAGGATATAATTGGTTATCAGTGTAAAAAAATTTTACACTGACAGTGTATAAGTGATTAACTCATTTATTATACTATGATAATAAAGACTTAAACGACTATTTTTTAATTCAATATGAGATAATAAGAACTCTTTAGATTGACATATTATAAGAAGGTTATGATTCTTAATATACCAAATTGCAAAACAACTCATACCTTTTTTTCTATTTAAAGAGAAATTAAGGTTTCATTTGGAACTTAAGAAATTTGATTGAAAAAGAACTATTAAGTTTCTTTGTTTGTGTTCGGGATAATTGCTGAAAAAAATTATACAAAATTTGTTGAATAACACTTGCATCAAGAATTGATAATGGATTCAAATATTTATAATATCACTAATAATTCGTCATAACGTAGATACTGTCTACAAGAACAACTTGTTCTTGCAATATGCATACTTTCATAATTATATTGCTTTCTGCTGAAGATCCCTTACATTGTTCAAGATTAAAATCATGTCCATGAGTGTCCATTTGTTTTAAAATGGGATATTAGGAAGTGTAATCGATCAGATTAATCTCAGCCACAAATGTTATGTATTTACGGTATGAGGAATTGATTCCCGGAATAAAACAAAAAATGTCTCAAGTGAGGGAGCATTTTTTACATAAAAATGATATGAATAAATTTTAATCGTATTGTATACAAAATGATCAAAATTAAAAGTTACTAAACATTACGTAACAACCTAAAATAGTTATATATACCACATAAAGAATTAAAAAATGAGTGAGAATTAGGAGAGAAATGTGAGCGGGTCGTTCGTCTATTTTCTATTTTATATTTTCCTGAATGTGTCTATATATATATAAGTCACTAGCTTTGTTCTGCCTTCCTGTTTGTCTTCTTCACATTTCCAGTTTCTCATTGTCATTACCCTTATTCATCTTCCTCTTGTTTCAAAGCAGAAAGCATCCTTGGTATGTGTCTCATTACAATTCAATATGTACCTCATCAAAATTCACTTTTCTACAATTGATGCCTTCAGCATTTTGTAATTTTCAGATCTTGGATCAATGCCTGCTTAGAATTTGTTTATTTTGCATCCTGGTTTAGATCTAGCGCTTAATTAGATCTTAGTATTTGTTTATTTTGCATCCATAGTGTTATATATTTACACATATTCATGCATGCAAAATTATACCCATTGTCGACTTGGATCTGGTCTACGTTATCCTTTGATTGATGTGGTACACTGCTCTTGTCTGTACAGCACTAGCAGATCTATATTGGCTTATGTATTTTGTGTTTGTCTTTCTTCTTTGTTGACATTATTTGGATGGTAAAGTAATAAAAGAAAATGCCAACTCTATTCAAAAGATAACTGAAACGTTTATAATGCAACCGGATGAAGCTTTCGCAAATGCTCCCACGCTCAGACGCATAAATAAATGCTTTTTTTTTAATTCTTTTGAAAATTTAAAAAATAAAATAAAATACTACAACTAACATCCTCTCCTCATCATTAGATTCACTTCCTGAATATTTAACTATGGGTCTGCGAACAGTTACGTCAATTTCATTTTTTACAGATCTACCTAAAATTCTATCATTTCAAAATAAAGTTATTTAATAACATTGCTCTTATATTTCATTATTTTTTAGAATACCCATTCTTTTATAAGGACATCAAGATCCTATATAGCTCTCATACATTTGAGCATATACCAACATTTATTCTCTCTCTCTTATTATGAATGAAATGGAATAACATAGTTTTCTCTATAAAAAAAATTCTTTTAATTACAAGCCATCATGTATTATAAATTTATTAATCTTTATAATATTTACCTTAAAAATAATTTTTAATTGATTGACAATGTAAAAAAATTATATTAACAATACATATATGTTAAACTATACATATATATATATATAGAGAGAGAGAGAGAGTAAATATGAATCTTAAAATAGGTGCAACGAAAATTAAATCAAGTTGGTAGGGTTCATGCAAAAGAAATGTACCGTATTGTCAAGTTAATTGCTTCTCTAGTTTCTACAACACAATTTAACCCTTTTTTTGTTTTCTTAACGACAGATATGGAAACTTTCCTCTTCACCTCAGAATCTGTAAACGAAGGTCATCCCGACAAGCTGTGTGACCAGGTTTCAGATGCCATCTTGGATGCATGCTTGGAGCAAGACCCAGACAGCAAGGTTGCATGCGAGACTTGTTCAAAAACTAACATGGTTATGGTGTTTGGTGAGATTACAACCAAGGCGAATGTGAACTACGAGAAAATAATTCGAGACACTTGTAGAGCAATTGGGTTTGTGTCAGCGGAAGTTGGTCTTGATGCTGACAACTGCAAAGTTCTGGTCAACATTGAGCAACAGAGCCCTGATATTGCTCAAGGAGTTCACGGTCACATGACCAAAAAACCCGAGGAAATTGGTGCTGGTGACCAAGGCCACATGTTTGGCTATGCCACAGATGAAACACCTGAGCTAATGCCACTCACTCATGTGCTTGCTACCCAACTTGGTGCCAAACTCACTGAGGTGAGAAAGAACAAAACATGCCCCTGGCTGAGGCCAGATGGTAAAACCCAAGTGACAGTTGAGTACAAGAACGACAATGGAGCCATGATCCCTATCCGGGTGCACACGGTTCTCATCTCAACCCAGCATGATGAATCTGTCACAAATGAACAAATTTCTGAACAATTGAAAGAGCATGTAATCAAAACTGTCATCCCAGCTAAATACCTAGATGACAAGACCATCTTCCACCTCAACCCCTCTGGTAGGTTTGTGATTGGTGGACCCCATGGAGATGCAGGACTCACAGGAAGGAAGATCATTATCGACACCTATGGCGGCTGGGGTGCTCACGGTGGGGGTGCCTTCTCCGGGAAGGACCCGACCAAGGTTGACAGGAGTGGTGCATACATTGTTAGGCAAGCAGCCAAGAGTGTGGTAGCTTCAGGGCTTGCACGACGTTGTCTTGTGCAGGTTTCTTATGCAATTGGAGTCCCAGAACCACTTTCAGTGTTTGTAGACACACACAAAACAGGAAAGATTCCAGACAAGGATATCTTGGCTTTGATTAAGGAGAACTTTGACTTCAGGCCAGGAATGATTGCCATCAATCTTGATCTCATGAGAGGAGGCAACTTCAGGTACCAGAAAACTGCTGCTTATGGGCATTTTGGACGTGATGATCCTGATTTTACTTGGGAGACTGTGAAGATACTCAAGCCTAAGGCTTGAATTAGCCACCCATGGTATTCATTGCTACATGTGGCTATCACCGTAGCCATCTTTCGGATTCTGGGTAAAAGGGAAATAAGGAAGCTTCAATGCGTACACCACATCTCTTACTGAAGATACGTTTCACAGCTCAAACTAGAAAAGGGAGTAGACGCGTTAGCAGTTAGCACAATAGGAGAGCATGCAGCATTAGCTACCTCTTTAATTTTGGTTTTACCGCTTAATTTAAATTTATTTACTGTAACCAATTATTTTCTTCTGATTGTTTTGCAACCAATCCTTGTGCATTGGTGTAAACTTACGATGTTATCTATTTAATTTTTTTAATGGAGTCCATTTATGAAACTGTTTACCTCATACAAAACAAATTCTTACTAAGACACGGAATAACTAGCTAGATTTTATTCTACCATTCACATAAGCGTTCATGATTGACAATGCTACCTACACAGATAGAGAAATTGCAAACATAAATGTGTTTTCTTACACGGAGTTAAGAGTGCAACCACAGTCGATCATGGAGCCTCTCTTCTCCAGCCCCATACATCTCATCTACCTTTTCACCATTCCGGTAAAATTGGAAGGTGGGGGTGTATCGAATGTGTTGAGTTGTTTCCGGGCATTCATCAATGTCTGCGTACACAAACGTAAGCTTCGGAAAATTATTGCTCAGTTTACAGAATGCCGGGAGAATTTGGCTACAAACACGACACCTGAACAACCAGAAAACAATAGTCAATAGTCAATAATGAATTTCCTTTTTGAAATAAAATAAGACCTTGAATTCACACTTGATGTCGGTATAGCCACAAACGTATCATGTTCAATTCCATTATTCCAAATCCAAACATCATTTAAACCGAAATTCAAGCAGAAAGAGAACTATACAGTTTGGAGTTTCCATTAATTGGAAAAGTTCCAAATTCAGCAGTAACGTACCAAGAAGCGCCGTAATTGATAACAGCCTGCAAAGAATTTAGTGACAGAAGGAAAGAATGAAAAACGTGTATCGTAAAAAAAAAAGCGAAGAAGGTGTATTTGCTTATTATGCTTACGGGGGTTGAAGAGGATTTGATGTGAGCGAGAATGTCGGTGAAGTCGTCGTCGCTGGTAGCGCTTTTCAAGTTGGCACGACGGTTAATGGGTAAATCGATGCCACTGCCTTCCAACCCTTTCTTCGCCTTGTTTTGGTCGTTGCTATTGCTTCCTTCCATTGCGTTTCTTTTTTCAATCCCAACCCAACCTCTATTTCACCAATCACTGCCCTACCCCCGCGGGCCGTGGGCCCGTGGCCCATCTCTCTCCATACTTTTGCTATTGATATTTAAAATATGCTAGTAATATATTATTCTATTTAATGACTTTTTTAAAATTTTTTAATTTTATGAATTTTAATCAATAAAAATTGTTACATGGTTAGAGTATAATTTTGATATATTTTTAGTATAAGAATTGTTACATTATCAATTAATTATACAATACTCTATGTGAGAGGTACGGCAATCAATTTTTCTCCTCTAGACTGTAATCTCCGGGTAACTTAAGTATCAGAGTCATTCATGAAAATTTGACTTTAGTCATTATGCTCACTTCTCGGATTCAAAGTAAATTTTGTCTCTTGATCCCCAAAAGCTTGTACTCACCATGATAGAGAGAAAGAAAAACGGAGGGAGACAGAGAACAGAAATGGATGGAGAGAATGGTTGCCGGAGAGGATCTAAATTCTTATTACATACAAATTTTATATAGAAATAAGGAGCCACAAGTAATTTAGTATTGTAAGGTTAATTTATTTAAGCACAGGTGTTAATAACATTTTTTTGTGGTATTAGTAATAAGTCAACTTATATTTATTTATCATAATTTATGGTTAATTTAATTGACTCAAGACAACGTGTTTATGAAACATTCAAATATGCATCTTGTCCTCCATGAGCAAGTCGAGAAAACCTAAGTGAAATGGTTTAGGATGTGTTGAATTGTGCTTGATTTAGATTTTAAAAACTATATTTTGTAAAATATTTTTCAAATATTAATTTTTAGATTGTAAGAGTGGGGGGAAGAAAATGAAATATTGGAAGAAAGAATATAAAACAAAAGATTGAAAGTAAAAAAATCAAAACAACTTGAAGATGTTCTGATTTTTTATTATAAAATTTGAAAAGCATTACTTCAAAAAAAAAATATCAAAAACTAAACTTAACAAACAATTTCTTTTGTTTGTTTCTTTGTTTTCAAAGACAGGTTGAACTTTAAAAAAACTACATTTCTTCATACAGGTTCAAGCCAACCCGGCCCATTAAAAAAGTCATTGATCTTGTATGAAAAATAGTTCCTTTTAACAAAACTAAAAATCTGTCCACTCCCACGAAAAATAAACGTCAAAAAAGGGAAGGATATGGCGACTTCCCCAATAAATAGTTTATTGCACTGAGCAAATTATGCCCCAGTGTTGAATGGTTAAAAAAAATTAGCAAAATAGCTCATACACCAGATGGCCTACTTCTTGCCAACTATAGAGCAAGTATATTTAATCAACATAAAATTCAGGTATATAGCAGCCAAAGCTGATGATGCAATTCGCGCTGCTAATTTAAAGGTTTAACTACTGGGTTTTCAATGAAAAAACCTGCATATTTGTAAACTGGTGCTGTAAGTTGAGATAATTTAATAACAATTCTATAATAATCAATGGGTTTTCTATGCCTCCATGAAGCAGTTAAAAGTGCTGTTGTGTTTATTGCAAATGATCTGAAGCATCAGCCTCCTGGTTTTACCATTGTTCTTTCTTCTACCAACACAGCAGCACCCTTGGTTATCTTCCTACTCCATCTTCATCCCAATGCATCTTATATTTGTAGATAATATGAGAGTGATATGATCCCACCCCATGAAAGGTTTTCATTCAGCTGGCATCCAAAAGAATGAAGCATAGCATTTAGAATATCATCCTAGTTCACCTCGTTGAAAGCACCAGTTTGAAACTTCTTGTGTAATGCTTTAATAGCTGATTCAAGCCGTGCTTGGTCCTGTACCAAAATTCGAACGGCTGATATCTATATAGATAAACGTATTTCTATTAAAACAAACACTAAAATAGGGAAGTTTCATTGTACCTTTCCTTTGAGGCTTACTATAAGAGATCCATATCTGGTTTTGCGGTAACAACCTTGATGTTACACAGAAGAAATGCAATTAAAAATATAGATAATGAGTCATAAACTGGTAAGCATCACAAAAATTCATAAACTTCATACCAACATAAATGTCTGGAAATTCAAGGCAAAGCTTTGACAGAGGTTGAGCAATTTCAACCTGCAGTTTCGATGTGCCAATATAAAATCAGATGAGCTCGAAAACACAGAATACGGATGTTGCATATTCTCACCAGAATAATTTGTCTCCTACTGCTACTTTTAAATATTTTCATCCAAAATACTTGAGTAACATCATTTGCACCTCTGATCATTTTTAATATATGCAAGCAAAATCAAATGCTGCATACTTGCGTTTACATAGACCAATCAGTGGATATAAAAAATAAAAACTCCAAATAGACTTCAAAGCATAGGGAATGAAATCATGCCAGATGTATCATGATACATGAAAATTAGTACATACATCTGACAGATTAGTTGTCACGTGCTTTGATACAAATGGTTCCAGCAATGATAGTATGTCACCAGATTTTGCTAATTCAATCCAACAGTCCCACTGCTTTTCCAGCTCCAGAACATTTGTTGCACTTAGAATTACTACATTTTGGCACTTGATCTGCAAAAAAAAGTAATTATCTCAAACAATTAATATCAGTATTTTGGTTCAATATTTTCATTATATACAAACATAAGAGTCTGTCACAACAAATAAGTACAAATGATTATCTTTTTCAGTTTCTCCTTAATGTGAAATTGAATTTTTGGTGAATGAAATATAAGGAAACAATTTTCGTTAATGAACTTCTGAACACATACCAATGGAACAGACAATTTGTCATGATGCCATAATTCAGTTATGCCCTCAGGCAATTGAGCCATCTGAAAGGTGAAAGATGGGAAATTAATATTAATAAACTTCATACAACAAAATGTCATCACATTGTATTGTGTGCAATGCAATCTAAGTTTGAGAAAGCAGATATTATGCGAAATACTACAAAAATGTCTTATTGAAGACACAAGGAAAAAAATATTGCATTCAAAATATGTATGAGGAATGACAATACCTTCAAATATTATGAGAAATGATAGTAACACATTTAGTGACACTCTTTAAAACACATTTCCTATGATTGGTTAAAATTTATTGGAAATCTCAAAATTTGTTGGGTCTCATATCCTATTTAATGAATCTCTCATGATTTTGTAATTCTCAATAAATTTTAACTAATTAGAGAGCATAGTAAGAGGAATGTGTTGCTAGCACTCCTCTAGATTTTATTAGTGTATTTCTCATTGCTCTCCCACTCCCACCCAAAACACATACACACACAAACAAATTAAGCAGAGCACAATAAAGCGGTACTTTAAAAAACATTCCTGAAAATATGAACAGCCCTGTGAGACTTGCTCTAGGCTGTTCCGTTAAGGATTTGACCTTCTTAAAAAGTTATGGTCTTGCCATTTGTGAGAATGAGAGTTGTGAACAGCCCTGAGGGACTTGGTCTAGGCTGTGGTGTTAAGGATTGAACCTTGTTAGTTCTTGGCATTTTTGTGAGCATGATCATGAAAATCATATTCATAGGTCACAGTCTCAAATGTGGTTCCCAAAGAAACAATCGTTGGAAACATTCCTAAGATATAAGGTATAACCATATTAAAATACACGCCATATTTCTTATTCTCTCCATCCCATTTACAAGACAACTGAAATCAAACAAGTGTTTTAATCAACCAAAAGACCATGAATTATTATAATTAAAAACATAAGCCTAAGATAGATAATTAGCGTATTTTGGTAAGTGATAAATGACACGTGGTTGAAGGACCTACGCAATGTAGGATTTGAGCCAATAGAAAAGCACTTGTGAGGAGAGACAGCCTTGGTATCCCATATGACATCCCAAATGAGGATTAGTCTTGCACCCAAAGGAGTATGTTAACATCGAAAATTTCCCCTAAAAAAACTAAATTTTCTAGAGTAAATTACCTCATTCCGATCACCAGTACACTGATCACCAATAATGTGCCTGAGATATTCTTCAAATTCTTCATCAGGAGCCTACAAAAAAAGCAAATCACCAATTGATAACGATAGGGATGAATATTCCAGCAAGATGAGACAAAGTGAAAGAAAACAAAGAGAAGTTGAGACACAATCTAAACTGATACAGTGCTATTATTTTCAAATACAATGAACTAAGGACAATTACAATATATAGAGCTAAGCCTCCCTCTTTAACAGAACAAACGGAACCATAACTGAATGCTGTTAAAAACATTTGGTTGGGCAGGTTCAACTACTTCTAACAACAGAAGTATTAACTACACTTGTAGAATACTAAAACTAATATAATAGATATGGATAGATACAGCGTATTTAGGAAATCATTATACTAGCCTCAAATTTAAAAATACAGCAATTGAAGGAAGCAACGCACCAAACGAACACCAAAAGCTTTTGCAATGCCTGCTAAGGTAACATCTGAATGCAGTGGACCTACACCTCCATATATAAATACCTACAAGAAGTAGGCCAGGTAATAAATATCTCAAACCATCGTATTATCAACAAGAAATTCATGCATATAACTTTACTAAGCATTTCTATCTTACCATGTCACTTTTAGATTTCTGTCGCTCAACTTCTTCAGCCACAGAATCTATCTGGTACAGAAGACACAAGCCATAAATCATGAAATTGTAATATTAGGTTAAGAATGCCTAAATTAGAGTATGCATGTGGTTCATTATCCACAGACTCATAATAACAACTTCAAGTGTTGATGTCTGCAAAGCAGAACAGTTCATATAAACATATGTTGGACTTCTGCAGAAATGAACTCACATTGTTGTGTACAACAGAAAGTTGAAACACAGACCAACCAATGGAATGCAGCTTCGTACACAAATAAGGTCCCAACTGATCCTCAACAATGCCAAACCTGAGCTATGGAACAGGGTAAAGAAAAAGACATCATCATCAATGCAGTTAAAGGATCGTAAAAAATTTATGTGTTCACTGCACAACATGACATGATAGATTTTAAAAGTGTACATTTATTTTCATTTAATCCTCTCTTTACTCAAATGATTATTGGAAATTAATTTAACTTCTGCAGTGTTTACTTTCTTCACAATAGTAAAGAGCTTCTATGTCAAGATATACGAAGCTCAGCAAGACAGAAACAAGTCATTCAGCACACAATCAAGAGATTCAACAACAGGTTAAACCATTGCAACTTGATACACAAAGCTTGAAAATTTGGTAAATAGTATGATAAAATTGTGAAATATCCCCTACGAAAATTATAAATCAGGGCAAACAAGTTCAAAAAAGATAATATATTCCACAAAATCCAATTATCCATGTGATATTGAGGTACTTACAGAATCTCATCTCCCACAGCAATGATTGATGCAGTGAGCATGCTGTTTTTATGGGAATCCAGGTTAGTCAAACCATTGCTATCAGCAGGAAGTTGTACAACAGTAGTAGAAGGAGATGGCCTTTTAGCCCTCCCAGCCCTCTCTAATCTTCCATCAGTAAGTAAATATGCCGGTTTGAATTTATTGGAAGAACTGCTAATGGATAATAATGAGTTGGGGACTGTGTCGTATATGCTCCCAATTGAAGTATAACTGCACAAATAATAAAGACATAATTATACACCAAAATTCCCTGAACAAACACAGACAATTAGAACTTAATGTCAATAATGATGGACCAATTATTAAATGCAGCATGGAAGGTGCCAGTCAGGTTATTTAGTGAAGTATTTTTAAATAGTTTGCAAACAATAAAAAGAAAACATATCAGATCATCCAATTATTTCCACATTGTCCCGTATTCTGGGGAAAACATTAAAAAAGAAAAATATTGCAGGCAGATATAAAATCAAAAACAAGGTTTGGCATACTTATTGAGTATTACCCTTGATCATAAAGGCTGCAATAGTTCACCTTGCAAGTCAAAAGGAAGGCCCACACGTCTCTGTATAGAAATATAACCACCATAACTAAATGAAGCAAATGACATTATCACATTCCAAAAGCATCAACATAAATAATCATGGAAAAGGACAAACTATATTTACCAAGTGATAGTGTTATCAAATTAACATGTAAATTGAGGAAAGGAAACCTAATGATTTCCCTGATTTCTTTAGCTACATATTAAGATGAGCAATGAATACTTGTCAACTCTTTAGGGAAACAAATAATTACAATTGAAGAACAAAAAAATGAAAATTAGCCTTCTGATTACTGTAAAAAATTATATTGCAAGTTACAAAAATATAACAACCAATATGCGTCCCATTATATGGGATTGACTATAAGGATCAAACAGTACCATTGGACTATATCAAAAAATGAATTTTCAATAAATCCATATAAAGTAAGCTCTTTTTTTCTTTTAACAAGCTACCCTTCAACTTTTACCTGAGGCTTTCTCGTTTTCTCTAACACTGTTTGACAAAGAGAAAAGATATGAAGGGAAAAGAAAAAAAGAAGAGAAGTATGAGGAAGTGTAAGAAATATAGTAGAAATAAAAGTTGTTTGGTAAAAGAGAAATAGAAGGGAAATAGAGGGGAAGTTGATTTTTTTATGGATAAATTTGTTTAAAAATAAATATATTAATATTATTTTAAATAAGCAAACAAATATGTTCTTATATATAATTTTATTTAAACATAAAAAACATTTTTATTACATTTTTTTAAAAATATAAATAATTTTTATTATAATAAATAAATATAATATTCATAAATAAATTTATTTAAAATACAAACGAAAATTAATTTTATTATTATATTATTTTATTATTTTATTTTATTATATATATGTATATATATAACATAATCACTTCTTTTATTTTAAATATAATAAATAAAAATTATATTCATTATTTATTATTATTATTATTAGTAGTAGTAGTAGTAGTATTTTTATTTATTTCGTCTTTTTCTTATTATTATTATTATTTATTTTTTCTTGACACCAACTTTCCTACACTTCCCCTCTAAAAATGGGGAAGTTTTTTAGTGTGGGTCCCACAATAATATAACTACACTTCCCCTCAATTCTTCTTTACCATACAACACTTTATTTTTAACTTCCACACATTTCTCTTCCATTTCCTACTCTTCTCTATTTACCCTTTCCCAAAAATAGCATAACTATTCACTTACAAGGCTAACCAAAGATGAAAGTTTGTGTGCCAAAAGCCCAAAAGGTTATAAATTAAGAGAACTTGTAAGAGAATATCATTTCCCAATTCTATTTTCCTATAATTTTTGTTTCTATATCTTGTTAAATTTTCTACTATAAACCAAACTCTATTTTTAATTTTTCTGTTACTGTTAGATTGTTATAACTAACCGCAAGTCATTATAACAACTAGTCTTTAACCTATATTATAAATAGGGTTCATGTACATTGGATAGGCATTGTATTTGTACCATTTCATTTCATATTGTTGATAACAAAATGTTATTCTCTCACTCAGTTCAATAATTGAACATGGTATCAAGAGCCTAGAACTTAGGGCTTCTTTCTTTCTTCTTCCATGGTAGATCCTTCTTCAAATCCACCGCCTTCCCCGCTACACTCCTCGTCGACACCTCTCACTTTTTCTCATTCAATCACCAAAGACATTTTTCTTCTATGGCGACAACAGATTGAACTAGTCATCAAAGGTCATCTGGTGAATCCTCATATTCCTTAACGTTTTCTTTTTCAAGAAGATCATGCTACTAGATTGGTGAATCCAGCATATCAAGCATGGGAGCAACAAGATCAATTGTTACTTTCTTGGCTACAAATCAATGCTCACAAGTAGCATACTCACATAAATCATAGGTTGGGTGCATTCTTGGGAACACTAAGAGAAACTTCACGAGCACTTTAATGCACATATGCTAGCACAAGCAAGTCAGTTGCGTACGGAGTTATACAACACGACTTTTGAAGGTAAAACCATGGTTGAGTTTCTCATGCAAGTAAAAGCACTTGTCATTTGTCTTTCTTCAATCAGAGATTTTGTCTCTCCACGTGACCATCTTAAGGTTCTTCTACAAGGCTTACCACAATTATGAATCTGTGGTAACCCTAATCAGGGGCAAGTTAGTTCCGCTACAAGTACCAAAAGTTGGAGCACTTCTTCTTGCACATGAAACTCGCATCAAACAGTAAAATAAACAAGCAATAATCGATTCAGCATCCATTAATTTGACTCAAATTGTGACATCTAAAACACAGCAACAAGTCTTGCACAATTTCGAAACCGCTCAAGCAAATTTTACACAAGGTTCCTAGCAATTCCTTCAATGAGGACTACGCTTCTACTGCATAAGGAGGTAATTATTTTCGTGGAGGCATTTGTTTTGGTCTAGGAAGGTTACAAGATGGAAGCCTCTCCCTACAATGTCAAGTATGTTCCAAATACAAACACTTCGCACTCAACTACTATCATCACTTTGATCCAGTTTATGCCACAGCGACTTCATATCAATAGTTTAGGCAACCACAAAACTTATCCTACCAAAATTACCTTTTAGCACCACCAGGATTTCTTGTTCCTCTTCATCCACCAGAGAACCATCCACAAACCTCACATTACCATCCCTCTGGACAAATCCTTTCTCAAGCGATGATTGCAAACATTGCACCAGTGCGACTTTGTATATCCTCCAGAAAATAGTCTTGCTAATACAACCTCAAATCAACCATCTAACCTTCCAGAATCACCAAATAATTCCCCTAACATAATCACCAGCAAGGTCCATCTTCCAGTCAAACAAATATCCCTCTCAACCTCTCAATATACAGACGGCATTATCTATGGTTAATTATTGTCCTTGGTACAAGTGTTCAAAAGGGAAGAGTTCAAATATATAAGAAGTGGGTAAAAAAAGATGCCAATAAATAAATAAATTTGGAAATAGGTATGAGGTGGTCTATTTATTAGTGGCACTGCTCATATAACTAATAACCACAGATTTTTGTCTCTAAGACAGTTTAAGGGACATTAAGCATCTTATTCAACAGTAACATATGTGACAGCAGACCTTGTAAGTGTAAATTTTATTATTGAATGAAATGTTTTTTGTACAATAGGCACCAGCCTCTAATGTGTTTTGAGAAAATTCCACTTTTTCAGATCTTTATTTTGTTCCCTCATCCAGATAAGAGTTCAAAAGAAACAAAGCAGCACCAAATATAATCCTTAAAATTTAGGCTTTGGGCCAATCTCAACCCACAAAACTAACATGTAAGTGAGGATTGTTTCAATTTTATAAACTCTATTTAAGTCATATATTTAGTTGATGTGGAACTAAACAAACCCCCTTTAACATTGCAATTAAAGCAGCCCAAAGAAGCCGCAATTAAGGCAGACCAAAGATAACCACTATTAAGACAACTTTCCAACACACCCAAGGTTACCGGCCCGGAGTGTGGCAAATGTAGGAGGCCCAACGATGGCTCTAAGATAAATTCTAGTACCATCTTAAAATTTGGGCTTAGAGCCTAACTATAAGCGCAGTTTTCTAATGTTATTTAATTAAAAGTGTTGAGAAAAAAGCTGCACAAAACAAAGAATCAAACCTGTATGACCAATCTAAAATGGGATTAACTCTCATGAAAGGTGGCCACCCAGGTGAACTAGGGGAGAATTGTTCTTGGCCAACCTGCAAAGTTGGAGCACACATGTATGAATAGAATATGGCAATACTCAAGTTTTCATAAAACCATGGTAATCAAATCTTGAATTTTAAATAAAATCTCACTTTCAATAAGCTTGCGCAAATCAACATTGAGTTTTGAATAAATAGCAGATATGCAAATATGTACTTTAAAAAAATTATCTTGTGGTTAAAAAGTAAGGATACCGCAGTAGGGTCTCCAATTCGAACTCCAAGGAAGATAGCTCGAATTGGGTTATTCTTCAGCAAAGCCTCCAAACCAGACTTGAAATCTGTGCAAATGGTGTCAATTTGCAACCCATAGCTGCTCAAGCAAAAATCATTAGTTGTTCCACCTTTAAAGGAGAACAAGCCTCCAAGTTTAAAAATTACAAACAACACCAGAAATTAAGGGAGGAAAATATCACCTCGCCTTGTCATCTACATGGCAATGAACAATGAACAATGAAAATTAAATTCAAATGTAGAAAGAAAGGAGAAGATTCACTCACGTAGCAGCTGTATCATATGTAAATGAGTTGATTTCTGGGAAGACACTTGGACTCTCAAAATATATTGTTCGAATTGGAAAATCTTTTAGATCCCCATTGGCATTATTTTGCCCCCTTTTATGCAAAAAATAGCCAGCCCTGAGTAGGTGCAACAAAACCTACAAGCCAAAGCTCAATGTTCCCATCAATGAGCTCTTGGATTCTGATGGGTGATAAAAGATTACCCTCATTAAAACTTACCGTTGAATCCTTTCCTCCATTGAAGCTGAAGGCAACCTCCTCAATACTGTAGGAGGAAATACATCAATACACATGAACATCAGACAACTTACATTAACGGAGACAATCAGCATTGAGAATATAAATAGTCATCAAAGATCATAATTTTTTTCACCATTCATAATTTTAAAACAAGTATATGACTCATAGCAAATGAAGTAGCAAAAACGACACCAAAAAGTAGGGGCCATCACTCTGTGATGTATGCAAAATGCACTCATCCCTAAAACAATCAAATTTCAAATCCTCAATTCTACTATCATCCAATGCAAAATAGTCCTCCCACAAAGCTGTAAAAGCCATTAAGTTGTTTAGAATTGGCATCCCCTTGAAAAATCAACAAATGAATGCATACCATCCTTTTTTCATAAACTATCATGCAAATATCAAAATAAAAGCTAATTCCAGTTTTCAGATAACACCATTGTAAGTACTCTCCAGCAACTTAGACCAAGTGGAACTTCATCACATTACATCTGTGTTTCCTGATAACACATTTTCAGCAACTTTTCAAGTTAACAGACCCAAAAACATTTTCAAAAATGCTTGCCCCTGAGACAATAACAATCAAGGAGGGAAATTCTATACACCCATAATCTCATCAAATGGATCCGACACAAATCAACAACCATCCTCATTAAGCACCTATTCACCTTTCCAGTTAAAACAACTACAGAAACAAAGTCAACAGCACACAACACTCCTCTTCTGTTTTACACTAACCAACAGAAAAGGGGCAAATAAATCCAATCCCTCACGCATAAAATACAAACCCGTCTCACGGAAAGGTTTAAGATAACAACAACCTGACTAATTGCACGTCCCAGTTAATAGGAGACAGAGAACAACTTACGAATACAAAGCCAAAGCTCTCTGGATAACATAGGTGGCGTTGTTGTACTTGGTCTGAAGCCTTCGATCGTCACACTCTCTAATTGCTTTGTCGATCTCCATGATGAAAAACCTGAGGAAAGCAAAGAAAAAAACAGAATCAGAGGAAAGGGGGTTCGGAAAAGATTGGAAATTGGAAGTGTTTTCCGAAAAAGCAAACCCGGGTTAGCGTGAAAAGGATATCTTGAAGCGAATTGGAGAAGGGGTGGAGGAGGGCGTGAGTGTATGAAGTGGCTGAATGAAGGATTGTGGCGTTTTGAGAAGGGATTGGATTGGAGTGAGAGAAGAAGAAATGGACATGCAAAATGCAGTTGGATGGTTGGTTTGGTTGGTTAAGTGGGAATGAAAAGAAGGCAGAATCTGAAGAAAACAACTATAGATGATCTTATCTACGTTGTGTTGTCTGAGAGTGAGAGCACAAAAATGAAGTTGCTGCTGCTCCAACCGAAATTTAAGAACCGGATCCAGACTCCAGAGGGTTACATTCGTCCTTCAAAAATACATAAAGGTGGAGATATTCTCCAATTACTCCCCCAACAAGACCCATGTGTTTCTTTTTGTTCTTCAAACTTCCACGAAAATAGTGGTCATTTTCTTTTCTTTTTACTCTCACCTAAAACCTTTGTTTATTTAACACTTTATGAATGGAATGACTTAATTTGACCCAAATAAATCTGTATAATACTGACCTTATTTTAATATTTTTTCGTTTATTTATTTATTTGAATATTTTTTACATTAGATAAATAAAGATATAAATTTAAAAAAAAATTAAAAATCATGTGATATTTTGTTTTATTAATTCAAATTAATGTATAAAATAATTTTATGATTATTTGTTAATTTAAATATAGTTTAAATATGTTCCAATATTTTTAAATAGTTTTACATCGCTTAAGAATCGAGGTTAAGGATAGTTTATAAACAGTATCTCTTTAACTCAACGAGACGTCTTTTTAAGGATAAAATTGTGACAATCCAATGAGTGTTTATAATATACATTAAGTTTTAATAATTTAATCATAAAAACTATTAATGAATAGATTAAATTTATAAACTTTGTAAAATTTAAAAATTGTTTAATGCTTCATTATATTAATTTAAATTATGAAAATATTTTTTTAATTTTCTTATTATATTTTTTTAGTCTTTGTAGTTTAAATAGGTTTCCTTAATCCATATACTTATATTTTTAATTGTTTTTAATTCATGGAGTTTAAGATAATATTTTTTATCCCTATACATATTTTTAAAAAAAAAATAATTTTTATCGTTCTTTTTTTTTTTTGTAATGTTGTTGTTTTATGTTGAAATGATAAGTGTCTTCAACATTCTAAGAGTAAAAAAAATGTTTCAATAATGATTCTCATAAGTAAAAATACAAAAAAAGACATAAAACATCAAGAGATCAATTTTTTTTTTGTTCGTCCCTGGAGTATCCACCGCCGACAGCAGTGACTAATCTCATCGCTACGTTGAAGGCACCTCAAAGGGTGGGACAGCAGTGACTAATCTAATTTAGATTAACTTCAATAAAATACACTTAATATCCGACACACAAAATTAAATTATTACATTTATGACATTAACACAAAAAACGTTAAAAAATTAATGAAAAACATTAAAAGAATTACAAGTATAAAGATTAAAGAAATTATCTTAAACTGACTAAAAATAATTAAAAAATAAATATTAAAACTAAAAATATTTATTTGAAACAGTAAGAATTAAAAGTTAAAGTAATAGAGATAAAAATAATAATAATATTTTATCCATATAAAATAATATATATTTATAAAAACATATTACACTACGTCAAAATAACTACTATAGGCGCGGGTGTGTTTACCAAAGAACCGGATAAGCGAAAATCTTCTCGTAAGAATTTACATTAATTTTTCTTGTCTTACTTTACCATGTCAAGAGAAATCCTGAAATAAAGAAAGAAGGTTAAACTTTTCTTGTTTGTTTATAGTCTTTGAAAAACTAATTTGTCTCTCTTTTTCCTTCAAAACATCATGCGTTATATGGATTAAAAAAGTCATCCTTTTTAAGTCAATTCAATGAAAATAAGTACTGCATGTGATATTAGATTTGAACTTTAGTATTGATATTGTAATTATGATTAATAAAAAAAAAACTATATATATTCTCATAGATGGCAGATACACTTGTATACAAAGTTTTCGTTCATGTAGTGCAAATATTTATCGTATGATTTAAATAACTATTCCTAAAATCATTAATTAATTTACTCACTTATATAATCAAATTTAAAAATAAAGTTTAAGCCTTTTATTTAATAAAATAAATGACTGAATTTTTTGTATCAAACACTTAACAATATGAACTTGAATAATGTAACTCTTTTATTAGAATCGGTTTGCGACTGTTTACTTGATATTTTTGCTGCAATCATGGAACTTGAAAGTTCATAGTTTAGACTAGTCATCATCTATAAAAAATTATCATGACAACTTCCCAGAAGGCTACGAGATGACCATGATCTGCGTGCAACATACTCAATGCTTTTAGACCGATGACTCCACTTTCTTAACTATACAACAACAACAATATTTATATATTTATACAATGATTTTACTTCCTTTCACCTAATTTACCTTTCTATCCCTCTTTTCTTATTATATAATTTAATATTTATTTTTTTTATATAATATTTAATTTATATTATCTTATATATTAATTATTTTTAGCTTAAAATAATTTTAATTAAATTATGTTATCTTAATTTGATAAAATACATTAATTATAAACTCTTTAAAAAATATATACTTTAATTAATCAGAAGAAGGATGGATATTAATTAGAAAAGAGAAATCGTATAAGACATGCACTTTTGTTTATTAAATATATAAATATTAATATTAATTAAAAAAGATAAATAATATAATGGTAGTTTGAGAAAAATTAACTACTTTATTAACTACTTATATATAAATAAGATAAATTTATTATTATTAATTAAATTAACTATTTTTTTTAATTTTGGTGAATTAGGTAAGGATAAAACTTACAAATAGTGTCATAGGTATTATTTTTATGAGTTAGTCACATATTCATTGCTAGTATAAAAGTTTTTTTACACTGACAACCAATCAGATTTATTAATAGTACCTTTTTTATTTTAATATAATTAAATGAGTAAATGACATGACACTATTAACAAATCTGATTGATTTTCAGCGTAAAAAAACTTTACACTAACAATGTATAAGTGATTAACTTTATTTCTATTGTTATCCTATTATAGCATGTTAGTTGGATTTTTTTTTTTCATGTCATATTAGTAATTCAAGAGATAATTGTTATTGTTCCCGTTAACTTTTCTTCTCTCTCTCAGAGCAACTCCAATGGGAGTTGCTCATCCTATGAAACAACTCAAGTGTCGGTTTCTTACTATTGAAGGACTCTGACGTGGCAACATGAGTTGCTTGAAGAAGAGAGAGAGTTGCTTCCTCAAACAACCGTTCCTTACCAGATTTTAGAATTTGGATCCTCTCTTGCAATTTCCTTTCTCCAACCTCTTTCCTGCAACACTAATCGTCATTAAATATATCTAATGGCTCAAATTTAATTATTTAAGAAGTTACATTAATTATAAAATTAAATTTGAGTCATTAGATATATCTAATGACTATTAATGTTGCAGGAGAGAGGCTGAAGAGAGAAAATTGCAGGAGAGGATCCAAATTGCAGATTTTAAGTAGATCTTATTGAACATATTTGGAAACGTTTTGGAAATAATAATGAAAATTAATTTTGTATAATATTTATGTATTTATTATTGCTTTATTTTATTTTTAACATCTACTTATTGTGTATTTTTTCTTGTAATTTATTTATTTTTCATTGTAGCGCAGTTATCCTTTTTAATAAAAATTTAAATTTACTTCATAAATGATTAGAAAAAAAAAATTCTAAAAGTTGAATTTTTTAAAGTTTCTTACCATTGAAGTAAATTTGCGTTTGAGTTGCTTAATGCTGATATAGCACACTAGGGACCACTTTTTTCATTTTTTAATGTATGAAGCAATTCAAATAGAGATGCAGTCAGTTTCTCTAAGTAAATACCCCTGCTAAAAACTGTCCCTTTCTCTCTATGATTTCATGAAATATTTTCAATTACTTTAAATGTGATACCCAAAATCATAGATAATTCTAGCATAATTAGAGGAAAAGGAAACTAATGACCATGAGTTTAGATCAATAATTAACAATTAAATCCTTTTAAAGCAAACACCAAAATCTTTAACAAGTAAATCCTTATAAAGTAATTAGATTTATTTTTTCATTCGAGTCATTTTTTATTGTTTAGGTTAAAGCTTTCAAACTTTCACAATGCTATTTAAGATGGAGGAGGTTGTTTTTAAACTTATTTGAGTAACATGATAAAAGCTGTAGTTATCACTATTCCTGCTTACTTCAACAACACACAGAAACAAATCATGAAAGATACGAACAAAATAGTGGGTTTGAACGTGTCAAATATCATCAATGAGACAACCGCATTTACTATTACTTAGAAAGGTGAAGAGAAGCTGAACAAAACATGTCAGTGAAAAAAGAGTTAAAAGAGTGTTAACGAGTACTAAAAAAGAAAAATAATCATCTCTTTAAGTTATTAACATGACATAGAAAAAATATCCAACTGACATGTTATAATAAAATGTCAGTAAAAATAATACTTATAACAATGTTTATAAGTTTTGTCCATTAGGTAATTGGTCCTGTATATAAAAACTATATCATATATTTTTCACTTACTTTTTATTTTTTCTACGTCATTTATCATATTTATAAGAAGTGCATAAGGAGAAAGGAAGCGAAAGTGGATTATACGGAAATCAACAAGGCATTTAACAGTGGTTTGACAATTTGCGTTACTACTATTGAGAAAGTTCACACGAATATTCCGAGGTCCAAGTTAGACTATTTGTTTAATATTGTTTAATATAGTTAGTGATAAGTGAAATGAAATATTGTTTAATAATTTTATGATTGAAGGAAAAATAAAGCCTGTGTTCTTTTCATACTCATAAATTAAAGACCGTAAGGAGTGTTTGGAAAGGTTGTTATTATAATTCCAATGTATTCAAACATGGAAGAGAGAGAAAAAAATGATGGATTGGCCTTCAACCACACACAATGAGTTAGCTCATTCTAGAACAGTCATTTTGTTGGATCCAAAGCCCAACCCAACAATTGATCAGACAACTGCTGAGGGCCCAGAGAAGTGCAGAGATTGTGAGCAGTTTGAAGGCCCAAAAATTGGTTATCAAAAAGAAGTATTCATCTATAACAAGAAATATCTTTTAAAAAGAAATATGCATCTATAATAAATTCTTTTACATATATATATATATATATATATACTAATAGATAAAAGGAATACATCATCCCGTAATTATTTTTTGTCTCCACAATTATAAACGATTATAAATTAAGAAAAAAAATAAATATTTATTTATTTTTAAAAATATTTAAAGACATCAAATACCTCTGTAAGTAA